CCCTCTGTAGAGTCGCTATGAGTCTGAACCGATTTAACAGCACTTAACAACAATATAAGGAGCTCTGGTAGCGTAGTGGTTACGAATCGGGCTGCGAACCTTAAGGTCAGCGGTTCGAAACTACCAGCCGCTCCGCGGTAGAAAGATGAGGCTTTCTACTCCCGTAAGGATTTACACCCTCGGAAACCCTGTACAGGGTCGCTATGGGTCGGAACCGACTCGATGGCACTTAACAACAACAATATATGACGGGAGTAGTCCGGGTGTGGTGCTTTAGGTACACATTGGACTGCTAAACACAAGGTTGGCGGTTCAAATCTACCAGCAGCTTCTCAGAAACCGTCTGAGAACTGACTCCATGACACTTATCAACAACAATGTGTAACCAGGAGCTCTGGTGGCACTGTAGGGTAAACACTGGACTGCTAACTGCAAGGTCGGCTGCTCCACGGGAGAAAGATGAGGCACTTTACTCCCGGAAAGGTGCAGCACCTACACAGGGTCACTGTGAGTCAGAGTTCTTTCAGTGGAGCGGGTTGGGTTGGGTTTGGTTGGGAATACACAACAGATCAAAACGTTGCCCAGTCTTGTGCCATTCTCATGGTGGTTGGCATATCCTGGTGCTTAATAAGAATTAAGTGGCAGCACAGCCGGATGGAGGAACTGTAAGAGGAGCTGGCTGAGCTGAGGCCCCAGAGCTGATTCCAACAGTGTGTTGGGTCTTTTGTCTTTCTTTCTTTGGGTGGAAATACACATATAACCACAGCTACAGAGAGCCCACCTCAGCAGCTCCCAGCTGAACAGTGGAGTATTGGCCTTGGAGTCTCACTCTGCATGAGCTCTAGGGGAACAGGGTGAGGAGCACTCGCTCCCTCTGGGAGAGCCATGCTGAGGTCTAGGGGGACTCCTGCAATCTGCCTTTTTACCCCAGGGGCTCTGTGCTGCTGGCCCATGACTACACACTGAAGCACAGCTGTCCAAGTCTCCTGAAGGGATTGCGGGGAGGCAGGGGCTTCTGGTGTGATTCAAACCTGAATGCACACTCCAGAGGTCGGGGCACCCGGAAGCTAGGCAGAGAAAACCTTTCCAGCTCAGAGCCCCTACTGCCAGCATGCCTCTTCTGTGGTGGAGAAGAGACTCCAGCTGTACCTAACCACCCTTCTTCCCAGCCCCAAAGATGCCTTCCGAGCCGTGAAGAAGAGGATCATGGGGAATAAGAACTTCCACGAGGTGATGCTAGCCCTCACGGTGAGTGTCCTGGTCTCCCAGGGCTTCTCGTCCAGAGGCTGGGAAGCACTTTCCTGTCCACTAGCCTCTGATAAGGCGCCTCCTGGAAAAGGTTCTCCCAGCCCACTGGCATTGGGGGGGCAGACTCACCAAGGCCCCCTGGTGAGAACCCGGCCAGGGAACCCGTGGGGATTCGCCCTGAAAGATGAGCATAAGATCTGCACAGGCTAAGATGAGGGCAGTATTGGCCTCCATGATGCCTGGTCCACTCACAGGATGGGCATAGGTGGGCACCCTGGTCAGCCAGGGCAGGGGAGTGAGGCGGACACTGTCCTAGCCACCAGTGATCAGCCCCTGCTGGGAAGTGGGGAGAACAGTTTGGTGCCGTTTCCTCAGGCTGCAAGGTCACCAGCAGATTGAAAGCTTGGTTCCTGGTAATTTCCACTTGGGAGACCACCTCCACTCTAGACTCTGTTTAGTTCGGCGACACGATCAGGACACTTACGGGCACTGGACCCCCAAGCACACAAGCCCCCAATCAGTTCTCTGTGGGCCACAGTCTCTCTTCAGAAAGCCCCAGGCCGCTCGCTGGTCAGCCCCCTGTGGGATGTGGTGGAGCTGTGAGGGCAGTGACCCCGTGGGTGACTCTCAGTGACCCCACCACCCTCCAGGTCTTGGAAACCTGCGTCAAGAACTGCGGGCACCGTTTCCATGTGCTGGTGGCCAGCCAGGACTTTGTGGAGGGGGTGCTGGTGAGGACCATCCTGCCCAAGAACAACCCCCCCAACATCGTGCATGACAAGGTGCTCAATCTCATCCAGGTGAGAGCTGGCAGGCCATCAGCATAGACCCTCATTACTGCTCGCTTTCCGTGGCCTTCAGCCCCACAGCCTATGGCTGTGTGTTGATTAGACCTTCTGGGGTGGGGGGTGGGGGGCATGGCGCCTGCGCGTTGCTCTAACGGGGCTATCAGAAGGAACCAGCACGTGATGGGGCAGGTGGGCTCGCAGTGGTTACTGCCATGTCCCCTTGTCCCCCTCTCAGTCCTGGGCTGACGCGTTCCGCAGCTCGCCCGACTTGACAGGTGTCGTCGCTGTCTACGAGGACCTCCGGAGGAAGGGTTTGGAGTTCCCCATGACCGACCTGGACATGCTGTCACCCATCCACACCCCCCAGAGGGTGAGGACTGTCATCACCCCCCCCCCCCCCCCCCCCCCCCCCCACACACACACACACAACCTCAGGAAACGGTGGGAGGGAAGCGGCTTGTCCCCAGAGGGGCTTGCTGCAGCTACTTCCTGTGGCCCCTGACTCCCTGGGGTCTTGAACTCTGCTCAAGTCCTTGCTGAGTCTCGCTTTTGCCCTCTAGACTGTATTCAACTTGGAGGCACCTTCAGGACAGAATTCTGTGCGTGATGACGCCAGTCAGCGAGCAGACCACACCCAGCACACTGCCTCCCTGCCCACCCTGGCCACACTGTCCAGTGACACATCCATCACACCAACCCCTGAGCAGGTAAGCAGCAGGCCAAGACCCCCGAGTCCACCCTCCTCATGGGTGACTGTCAGTGTTGGATCACAGGGCCTGTGGAATTCTTCCTATTTTCAAGATAAACGAGGCTCTTCAGAGACCGCTGGGATTCACACTCAATCTCTTTCACCCCAGTGGTGGTTCCCACGTCACTCTCTGAAACCCCGGGGCAGTGCCATGGAGAGGGCAGCCCCCTTGGCCAGAGCTGCGGCCTCTCCTACGTGGTTTGCTCTCGTAAACCAGAGAGTTCAGTCCTCAGAGGCTCTAGCTGAGACCATCTTAAGGCATCTTCACAGACACAACCCGTTGTGTCCAGAAGGAGACTTGAGCTTTATTATCTTCAAGGCTCCAGAATCAGGGCCTAGGACCAATTTTTCCAGGCCCGTGACTGCCTCTGAGCCTCAGTGTCTTCCTCCGGAAGCTGAGGTAAGGCCATGAGCTCCTGGCAGAGTGTCGAACCTACACAGCCAGGACCAGTGTTAGTTGGCAGCTCGGTGGGGTTATTTTGCAAACAGCAGGACACATCACATCAGCTAGGTGTAAGCACTTAGCTGCCGAAAGTGCTGATGAGAAAGGCTCAGGCGTTTGGTGGGAGTTAGTGAACCTTAGCTTCCCACACATGCAGCCCACCCATCCCATGGGCAGAGCTACTTGGACTTGGGAACCAGTAGATGTACTAGCATCCTGTCACCACCTAGCCAATCGAAGAGAAATATGTGTACTTGGATGTCCTGTAGCAAATTACGACAACGTCACCCCTCCCCTGGGATTGGAAGCCTTGCTGGAAACTTTTCTAACTGGATAAAATAATGAAAGGTTCATGAGGAGTATGAAAGATCACCGTGCGATCCAAAATGATGTAAGCAGGTTGTAGCTGTAAGCAGCCTGTCTGCGCACTGGTATGTGTGCATGAAGGGTCTGAATGCTCCTTGTACAAGAAGCTTCCTACTGAGCAAAACTCAGTAGTGTCTGTTTAAATGTCAGCGTCACCTGCCTTCTCCTGGGAACTGGTAAGACGCTTAGGGAGGACACACCAGTGTAGCTCCTAGGCTCTCCTGTAATTAAGTCCCCTGGGACTTGAATAGACCAGGTTTCTGTTTGACGATTTTTCCACACACTCATACCAAATGCATTCGTTAAATGGGCCAAACACACCACACATCTTGCGGGTTTTAGAAGGTGTGCGTGAACCACAGTGGACGTGCTGTGTGTCTCGTGTGTTCTCCCTTCCTTGGTCTGTAAAAATGGATTCATTGCTGCCTCTCTTGCCAGACAGTGGTGATGTGGCGCTTGAGGTGGCAGCGGTCACAGTTGTCATTGCTTCATATGGTGGTGCTCATTCTGTCAAAAAGTCAAACAACCTATTGCATTGGGCAAGTCTACTGCACAAGACCTCTTTAAATGTTCAAGAACAAAGATGTCAGTTTGAGGACTAAGGTGCACCTGACCCAAGCCATGGTCTTTTCAGTAACTTCATATGCATGTGAAAGCTGGACAGTGAATAAGGAAGACTGTAGAAGAATTGATGCTTTTGAGTTACGGTGTTGGAGGAGAATGTTGAAAGTGCCATCGGCTGCCAACAGAACCAACAGATCTGTGTTGGAAGAAGTGCAGCCAGAGTGCTCCTTGGAGGCCAGGATGGCCAGACTGTGTCTCTCATACTTTGAACATGTTATCAGGAGGGACCAGTTCCTGGAGAAGGACATCATGCTTGGTAAAGTGAAGGGTCAGCAAATTAGAGGGAGACCTCCAATGAGCTGGATTGGCTCAATGGCAGCAGCAGTGGGCTGAAACTTCACGATTGTGAGAATGACGCAGGACTGGGGAGTGTTTCGTTCTGTTGCGCGTTGGGTCGCTATGAGTTGGAACCAACTCAGTGGCACCTAATAAGAATGACAGCATATTCTGAAATCAACTATAACTTGGCCACACAATTAGACTGAACTAGCATTTCCGAAAACGTATTCCATTTTGATATTAGACCTGAGAGATAGTCCCTGATGAAGGGCTTTGTCTGCAAAATAAACTTAGGCAGCGTTTACGTTGCTCTCCTCCGGAGGTTCCCAGTGCTCATTGGGGTACTCAGCACCTCAGAGCCCCCAGCATCAGACACAGATGCCAGTGGCCTCTCACTGCCTATCCTGTTTGAAGTGATTTACACTCTGCTCAGCACGAGATCACGAACCTTTGGATTGCTGAAAGCCACTGGACCCGGTGTTCACGGGCAAGACTGCCCTCAGTCTGAGGTTCAGACTCAGGGTGGAGGCCAGCAGCAAGACACCATCTCTTACCCCAGGATGAGAGAGAGAAGGACTTAGGTACCCCAAGAGAGAGAGAGACAAGGACTTAGGTACCCCAGGAGAGAAAGAGAGGAGGACTTTGGTACCCCAGGAGAGAGAGAGTGACAAGGACTTAGGTACCCCAGGAGAGGGGGGGCAGGACCCCACTACCCCAGGAGGGAGAGGGCAAGACCCCACTACCCCATGAGAAAAAGGGCAAGACCTCAATTACCCCAGGAAGAGAGAGCAGGACTCCGGTTTACCCCAGGAGGAGAGAGAGGGGAGGACCCCAGTTACCCCAGGAGGAGAAAGAGGAGGACCCCAGGGCTTGCAGCTGAGGCCCTTTACTGAGGCACTGGAAGGTCAGAGTAGCAAAAGGGATTGTAGTTTGGGGTGGTGTCGGGGGTTGTCTGCTTCACAAGTACAGGACCAACCCTGAGCCCAAAGCTATGAACATGCCCAAGGCCTGTTGTTAAGTGCCGTCGAGTCAACTCCAACTCATAATGACCCTGAATAGGGTTTCCAAGGAGCAACTGGTGAGTTTGCGCCTCCAACCTTGCTATCCAGTGCTGTATATGAGGTCTGTTGTTAAGTGCTGTCCAGTTAGTGCTGACTCACAGCAACCCTGTGTAGCATTTCCAAGGAGCGAAGTGACTGGTGAGCTTGAATCGTCAACTTTGCAGTTGAAACTCACCTTGCAGTCCAGTGCATTAACCCACGGCACCACACCAGGTATTCTGTTTAAGGCCTTGTTGTTAAGTGCTGTCGAGTCGGTTCCGACCTGTAGCGACCCTGTATAGGCTTTCCGAGGAGCAGCTGGTGAGCTTGAACTGCCAATCTTACAGTTCATATAGCTTTGCAGTCTAACGCAATAACCCACAGTGCCACACCAGGATTCCTATATTAAAGGCCTAGTAGCCAACAAAACATAGCTGTTGAGTTTGGTTTTGACAGTGTATGAGAACTATAATCTGATCAATGCTGGTACAGTGTACTTCACGAAACTGTCACCATAGTCAGGCTAATACACATATCTGCCACCCTCAAAAGCTTCCCTGCCAACCAGAGATTGTCTGTTTGAATGAAGAGCCCCTACTTTCTGCTCCCTTACTATGTCAAAGCTCTGTCCCAGTCTTCATCATCAATGCAGCTAGTGTCCACCCTGTGTAGGAAAACGCCTTCCTCCCAAACACTCTTCCAGCCCTGGGCTCCCAGGCCCCCCTGTGAAAGCAGGCTCCGGCAGGCTCTGGTTCAGCCCCGTGGGAAGGCCGCCCCTGGAGGCCTTGTTAGCTGTGCTAGGGACTCTGGAGGGGCTGGAGTCCTCGTACCCGCCCTCAGCGCTTTCTTCACCCTAGGCTTGTTTTCCTTAGGCCGCTCCCTGCACCGGGCGCCCCCATTTGGAGATGATAATGGTTGGTAGCCACTCTGTTGGGTTGGGGACAAACCCACCACAGGCCTTTCACTGCAGAGCTGTGGCCCAGGAGCCAGAAGCAAGGCTGCCTGGAGAGGAGGCGGGCATGTCTGCTCCTCTGGGTGCCACCTCCAGGCTGCTGGTGCCAGACTCCCAGCTTCTGTGGGAGCCTGTCCTCTAACGCAGGCCCACGGTGTGTTTCAGATCGGGAAGCTGCGCAGCGAGCTGGAGATGGTGAGCGGGAACGTGAGAGTGATGTCGGAGATGCTGACCGAGCTTGTGCCCACCCAGGCTGAGCCTGCAGATCTGGAACTGCTGCAGGTGAGCGGGACCCAGCCCCCCTGGTCCCCAAGCCCACCCGTTCCTTCCCAGCCCACATAACGCAGCAGGTGGAGAGACCCAGCCTCCCTGGTCCCCAAGCCCACCC